CCCTCCGCAGCCCCCTTTTGCCCCCCTCCCCGCGTGCGAGTTTTTTTTTTTTTTAAATGCCACGTTTGCGAGGCGCGGAGAGTCCTAGCCAGCTTATTTCCTGGAAAACCAGCCCAGTTTTTCCTCCGGGGAATAAGGGAGTGAAAAGCGGGGGGGGGGAAATATAAAGAAAGTGTAGGAGGGATAAACTTTCATCGTGGGGTCCCGATAAGGTTGGCTCCCGGTTTCACCCGTGGCCCGGGAAGGAGTTAACTCCAACCCGAGAGCCGCGGGGAGAATGTGCAGTCAGGGAGGTGCTAGTGAAAGTGACTGCAGGGGAGTGAATGGGGCTGGGAAAGTTTTAGAAATGCTTCCTTAGGTATGTGACAGCGGGTTCCGCTCCCTCGTAAATCTGGTTTGCAAGTGAGTTTCTACCCAAAGCGCTACAGCCTTCCCTTTTTCCTTTTTTAAAACTAGTTTTCTTTTCTTTTCGCCCCCAGACTCCCTCCTATTTTCCACAAATTAACAGATCAAGAGAGATTCAGAAATTGTCTCTGAATACCCATGTGTGTTAAGTAAGCTTTCTTTTAAGGCGTGGCCAAAGCCTTCTAAATCCATAATTAAGGGCAGCTTGAGTCTGGGAGCTTTATTGCGCTGTACTGCTGACAACCGAGGTTAAACTTTCCTACTATCTTTCATGCGCTCGACATTACGCAAGATCATTACAACTTTTTGAAATCAGGCAGCCAGGGTTTGGACTGCAGTCCATGTGTCCTATTGCACTTGAAGCGTTGCTTCCTTAAAGGGAAGGCTCTTGGGGAAAGCCATGTCCAGCATCGTGAAATAGATTTAAGAAGGGTTTGTCATTGGGTTCCTCGTTGTGCAACTCAGAGTAGCCATCCCTTTACATACAGTAGTCTTGAGAGTGCCTATATACAAGTTATGAATTTTTTTTTTTTTTATGGCAGAAGAAGAACAAGAGGAAGATGAGGAAATCGATGTTGTTACATTAGCTGAAGCAAATGAATATGAATCCAGCACAGAGTCCAGCAGCACAGAGACGTCAGAAGAGCACAGTAAACCCCACCAAAGCCCACTGGTTCTCAAACGGTGTCATGTCAATATCCATCAGCACAATTATGCCGCTCCTCCCTCCACCAAGGTTGAATACCCAGCTGCAAAAAGGCTAAGGTTGGAAAGTGGCAGAGTTCTCAAACAGATTAGCAACAACCGAAAATGCTCCAGTCCGCGCACGTCAGGCTCGTCAGATTCGGAAGAGAACGACAAGAGGCGAACACACAACGTCTTGGAGCGCCAGAGGAGAAATGAGCTGAAGTTGAGTTTCTTTGCCTTGCGTGACGAGATACCCGAGGTGGCCAACAATGAAAAGGCTCCAAAGGTTGTCATCCTGAAAAAAGCAACAGAGTACGTTCTTTCCATCCAGTCGGAGGAACACAGACTGATTGCAGAGAAAGAGCAGTTGAGGCGGAGGAGAGAACAGTTGAAACACAAACTTGAGCAGCTAAGGAACTGTTGTGCGTAGGAACTCTTGAGCATCACTTAGAATAATGCAAACTAGACTGAAACTATGGTAAAATATTAATGAATCTAATATCTCTCATGAACTATGTGATCCATCGAGTATGGAACTATTGCAACTGCATGCTGTGCGACTTAACTTGAGACTACACAACCTTGGCTGAATCTCCCAAGGGTTTGGCCAGAACCTCAAAACTGCCTCATAATTGATACTTTGGACATAAGGGATGATGGGACATTCTTCATGCTTGGGGATGAACTCTTCAATTTTTTTTCTTTTAAGATTTTGTATTTAAGGCATTTTTTCATACGAGAATCCAAAAGAAAAAAGTTGTCCCCAGTTTGCTGTATATATTTACACATCATATTGCCATGTAAATACCTTTAATAAAGCCTTTATAGAAAAATGTGCAACATTAATACGCAACAGTTGTGGCAACTGGATTTATACTTGTCTTGAACTTCTGTGCCATAACATTTCACAATTTTGTTTTTTATTTAAGTACTTTTTTCCTTTTAAAAATGATTTTTATTTTGTTTTTAGATAAATAAATATTTGCCCAAAATCTAATTAGCTAAATCCTGTGTAAAGACTTCACTTTGTCTCCCACTGTTGTCATTAGATGTCTATTTCCATGACATTGCTTTTTCTGTCATCCTGGCAGTGACCTGACTGAAGTTAAAGGGGGATTGGACGAGGGGAAATGGTGATAGTTTTGCAGCTTAGTAGGGACTGGTTTCTTGCTCCCACTCCATCTCTAATTTCAGTGGATAAAATTGTCAGTGTAATGTGCCCTGTCAATTCAACTTGCCTTGCCACCAGGTCCTCCATGCAGGTGTGGTAGCAATGCCTGTGTTGGTCATGGTCAGCTGCCTGCTGAAAGTAAAGCTGGAGTGGTGCATTTTCTCACTGATCACCCCAGTATGTAGGCTCTGCATTCCTTCCACATACATATAATTACATTTTCAGGGCATGACCTTCATTCTGCACTAGGGACATAGCCATGTACTTTGAGGGCTGCTTTGTAGTAGGCTCACCTTAATTGCTTCCTGTTTGATTTTAACAGACGTTAAAGAGGATAAGAAAATAAACTGAGATGGTGAGTGTTGAAGTGCTTAAAACAACAGAGCGGTTTCCCTTTTTAAGTGCTGAAATCAGCAGAGCCAATCTTGGTCAAACACCTTAACACTTTATTAATGTGAATAGTTACTTGGGATTTCAAGGGATACAAAGTTCAAGGACACAGAAAAGGGAGCAAAGGAAAAGGAGAACTATTTCTCACTTGAAGAATATGCTCAGACAGATTCATAACATTTGCCAGACATATTAAATAATATTTACATTCAGGACTTGTCTCATGATCAGCCTCTGATGGGCCATAAGGCACTTGCTTGACACAGCTCCAAAATTAGATTTGATCTTTTCTCCCCTTTTCACCCTCTTAGCACAACTTCAGTCATGACTTCAGTAACAAATCAATGAGCCCTTTGATGTGGAGGAAGAATGTGTTTTTCAAAAACTTGGGCCTTGCACTTTTTCGATTTTCATAATTCCCGTTAAATACATATTTGCTTGGCTTCTGACCATTAGAGGAACAGAGCTGCCAGATAGCACCAGTGCCAGCCACTGAACAGGGACCAAGGGTGCAGGTTGTCTATTGCTTTTGGGTTCAGAGAGGGAAGAATGATTGGGTGTGGGTTTATGTGGGATGGGGCAGGTGGCACTATGCAGGCAGGGTAGATGCCAGAGGTCTGCTCTGCAAAGCCCTGGGTAACCACCCCAACAGTCCTCCGTGAGGGAGTTTGGAGAGAAGGTAAGTGTGTAAATCCTATTTGATGGAGGGCTTTAGGTGTTTGAAGATTTCTTGGGGGGAAAAAACCCCCATTATATTAGAAAAAGAGGACAAAGCAAGGCTTTTCTCTTAACTTTTTTTGTATCACCCCCCGTAACTGGGTTTATAGAAGTGGTCCGCAGTTGTTTTTTTCCAGCATGTGATTCAGATATTCACTTATAAGGAAAACTAATTAAGTGAAATGAAACTGTTAATTGTATCTGAACTGTAAATCAGAACAACTTGCAGCTATGAATAACATAAAAGTTCTGCCTTTTATTAGGCAGGATATCTAATTTTAAAAATACATTCATTTTATGTGCCTTTTGGTGTGCTTCCTATTTTAGATATTGCTTCAGAACAGAAGCAAGATGTTGTTGAAGAATTTATAACTGCAACCCCATCCTCCAAAATAAACCAGGAGGTGTAGATCCATCCACAAAAACTGAAAAATATGTCACCTTTGAGTTCCAGTTTCATGTGTTAGCAAAGCCCCTGGCTTCTTTCTGTTAAATGAGGCTAGAACACAATGATTAATGAACCTATTCTTATTTGTCAGCTTCTTATATCATTTGGAGAACAGTTTTGGGGTTTTTCTTCTATCTGCAGAAGGTCCTTAGTATTTTGATGAATAGGATACTTGCAGTTATTTAATTTCTTACTCTTACTTTTAATTGAGCATCATCTTGCCACTGTCCTCTGGAAAACAAACCATGAACGTGATCTCAAATTGCCACTCTAAAAAAATACAGTTTTGTGGGGTGTCACTTCATAATTATGGCATTTCTTACTTTGTTGTAGGATTGCAAAGCACCTGAATAATGCAATTAAAAAAAAATAAAAGAAAACATCCGGTGGGTTAAGAAACCTCTTCTGGTCATTAAACTGCTGCTGGAATAAAGAGGAATGTGGCTTCCTCTTTCCAACTCCTCACCAGAGATTAGCACATTCAGAAGACACAGACATCTCACAGGAGCTTCTGGGCTGGATTCAGTTAGCAGTGCACTGTATCTGGATAGGAAGGTGTTGGGGTTTGCTGCTGTTTAGGAGCAGTAGGGAAGATAAGCTTACCAAAGCAGCATCTGAGCCTTGAAATGAAATGTGGAGTTTACAGCTGTTATGTGCCAAACAGCTGTACTGAAACTGAAACTCTACTTGAAATACTTGAAAGGAACATTTTTAACTTCACTTCTCTGCTCCTTTACTTTTGCAGGACACCTGAAGCTACTTCTCTTCCAGAAGAACTTTAGGCAAAGTGTGGCATCCAAGAAAATTGGAAATAAACCATCTGGTGAAAATAAAATTTCCTTTATCATTTACCCTCACTGATTTAATTTAATTAAATACCAACTTTGAGGATTCCATCTTAATTTTTATTCTTGTGCTTAAATTTTGTCTTTGCGGCCAAGTCTTCATGTGAATGGCTTCAAAGTTTCAATACAGAATATGCTAGGGGAGAACAGGGATGTATAAAAGAACCCATGTTGCTTGATTCAGCTCACACTGGAATCTGTAGAAATTCCACGTTTCTTCCAGAGAAACAGATTTGTGCCAGTGGAGGATGCTCTTGAAAATTTTATCACTACCTATAAAGAAATCACTTTACTTGTCCCTACGTAAGCACTCTTGCTCATGAAGCACTTTGCAACCCTTGCAGGCAGTTGAGAGATGGCAAACATTTCATCAGAGTTGCATGAAAGGGAGAATTTCAGGTAAGTGGACTAGAATAATGTTAAACTGGAAACAAGCCAGGTCACTGTAGCTGAAATCTGAATTTATTCAAAACAGAAGGTGGAGGTGGTTGTTTCATCTACAGAAATGAACCAACTTCTAACATGGTGGATTGTTTTGTTTTGTTTTATTGATTTCTGTTAGAATCATCTGCCAAGAAATTAACAGAAAAATAAAACTGAATTATAAGTGATCTTAACACAGGCAGGTGGCTTGGGGAGAGATTCAGGATTTACTTCCCAGCTTAAAAGTTTGCTGTTCCTTCATATTAAAAGGACATTTATGGGAGCTTCTGAAAAAAGGCTCTGCTGAGACTGAGAACTAAGCCCTGGTTTCCCCTTGTCGTTGTTTTCACGCAGATGAGACCTAAACTTGACTAGAAAAAGTGAAATCAAGAAATCAGATAGATAAGCTGCAGAAACCAGATATCATTTCCAGTACAAAACATTTGATGTTCAGCAAGTTTTACCTACCTTCATATCAATTACTCATCTCAGGCATAGCTGTAAATGTCAGTGGGGACAGGCTGTAAAAAAAATGTTATCCAAGATTCAGAGTAGCTGCTAGAAAGTCAAAGGGGAATTTTTTTCCCTAATTTAACCAATAATCTTCTACATGGATCTTGAGTGTAGGGAAGGTGCAAGAATTTGGAGCACCTTGCTTATAGCAGTGGACTCAGCCGTGCAGGCAATTCCCTTTATAGAACCATAGAATTGTTTAGGTTGGAAAAGTCTTTCAGATCATTGAGTCCAACCACTAGCCCAGCCCTGCCAAGTCCACCAGCAATCCATATCCACAAGTGCCACACCTACACATCCTTTAAATCCTTCTAGGGATGGTAGGTCAGCTGTCTGTCAACCAAGCCCCAGGTCCTGTTCCCCTGGGCAGAAAATACTGGCCCCAATACTGGGCCCTGGGGAGCACCACTTGTAACATTTAACTCCACTCACCACCACTCTAATCCAGCCAGATTTTTACCCAGTGCACATGTCTAAGCTACAAATGCCCAGTTTTTCCAGGAGAATGCTGTGGAAGATGCAGTGGCAAAGGCTTTGCTAATGTCTAGGCAGACATCACAGCCTTTCCTGCATCCACTAAGTGGGTCACCTTGTCATAGAAGGAGATCAGGTTGGTCAAGCAGGACCTGCCTTTCATAAATCCTTGCTGGCTGGGCCTGATCCCCTGGTTGTCCTGTACGTGTCAGGTGATGTCACTCAAGATGATCTCTCCATAGTCTTCTCTGGCACTGGGATCACACTGAGGGCATATAGTTCCCCAGATCCTCCTGCCATCCCTTCCTGCAGATATGCCTCATCAAAGATTTGCAGTCGCTGTGCTTCCAGGGGGGAGCTGGCTTGGGTGGGACCCTGGCCAGGCAGTGGCAATATCACCCTCAATTGGTTTGTACTATAATACAGGCATTTTTTCAAGTCATTTCAAGCCCAAGCAGCTTGTCTTCAAGTGTGTCCAGACTCCACCTTCCTAGCAAATGAGATTAATTTTTTCTGATAATAATGAGTATGACCTTTGGTGCTGAATAATAATACATAAGAGAAAGCATTATTGGCCACTTGCCAAAACTATTTAATATTTGTAGTTACTGAGCAAACCTTGCTTCAAGTTGCCACCAATGCATGGGAGCCCAAGCTACAATGCATTTCTCCATGGTTGTGCTTGAAACCATGAGACACAAGGGAGAAATCACTGGCTGAGAGTGAACCCCACAGCTCAGGCTGGCTGAAGGATCTTATTCCCACAAGCCCTGTTTCCAGCTTCCAGCTTGACACAGGAATTGTGGAGCTATTCTTTTTTCTAGACAAGTCTGGGAGAGAACAGCTAGTTCCTGACATTATGTGTTATGGAGATTACATTTTATTGCTAAATTCACCCTTCACATATGTCTGTCTGTGAATCTTGCCATGGCTACTTTTCTGTTGAGTACATTTCCATTTAAGGCAAAATCTTTCTTGTCACCATGTGTAATTTCCATTCCATGTCCCAATT